AAGTGACAAAATAAAAGGCGATATTATCGATTGAAAGCAAAATGTTTCGGTATCTAATAGACACGGGCAACATTGACGAGAAAATCATTTAAAACACGGCAACGTTTTGCCAGAGAATTCATCGGTTACCCTATACACGTAACCAAGAACCACCTTTTTTCTTCGGTCGGCCCGCTGCTACAACAATTTATCTTTCTTTCTGCTCTGCACGAGGTCGCCCTCGATATCTAGACTTTAGGTTGTCATGCTATGCGCGTGGAAGCACTATTACATCATAAAACGTGAGGCGATCTCTTGGGAATATATGTTTCGTATCACTAAACTTATATTCCCTTCGACTTCGTTCCTAGGTTATGAAATTTTAATTACAAATTGATATAATAAAAAATAACCTTAGAAATAAAATCTTTGATACCCCTTTTTATCACTTCAAATAGTATTTGAAATATATATTTTTTAGGTTAACTAAACACTGATTTCATTTTTCTAGAACGAGTAGGGACTTAATGTGTAATTTTGTGACTGTTTATAAAGACGTTACTAGTATTTTGAATCACCATCCATGTAAAATATAACAAAAAATAGCCTTAGAAATAAAATCTTTGATACCCCTTTTTATCACTTCAAATAGTATTTGAAACATATATTTTTTAGGTTAACTAAACACTGATTTCATTTTTCTAGAACGAGTAGGGACTTAATGTGTAATTTTGTGACTGTTTATAAAGACGTTACTAGTATTTTGAATCACCATCCATGTAAAATATAACAAAAAATAGCCTTAGAAATAAAATCTTTAATACCCCTTTTTATTACTTCAAATAGTATTTGAAATATATATTTTTTAGGTTAACTAAACACTGATTTCATTTTTCTAGAACGAGTAGGGACTTAATGTGTAATTTTGTGACTGTTTATAAAGACGTTACTAGTATTTTGAATCACCATCCATGTAAAATATAACAAAAAATAGCCTTAGAAATAAAATCTTTAATACCCCTTTTTATTACTTCAAATAGTATTTGAAATATATATTTTTTAGGTTAACTAAACACTGATTTCATTTTTCTAGAACGAGTAGGGACTTAATGTGTAATTTTGTGACTGTTTATAAAGACGTTACTAGTATTTTGAATCACCATCCATGTAAAATATAACAAAAAATAGCCTTAGAAATAAAATCTTTAATACCCTTTTTTATTACTTCAAATAGTATTTGAAACATATATTTTTTAGGTTAACTAAACACTGATTTCATTTTTCTAGAACGAGTAGGGACTTAATATGTAATTTTGTGACTATAAAGACGTTACTAGTATTTTGAATCACCATTCAGGTACAAACTACGTGGAACAAAAGTAGTTCCTTTTTTTACCATTGAGGAAAGAAAGTTTAAGTGCACCTTAAGAGAATTGTACTGATCAAGCTTCAAGAGAATTACCTGATACTTTCTCAAATGTTCCTGATCAAGATCGCTCGAGAGACAATGTACTTTCCGAGAATAGATGAAATCGAGTTATCAACTCTAGGAAGAAACAACGTTAGGGCAGACTTTCATCCAAACCAGTTTCTTATTGCACTGTTATCTTTCGAATCGAATTTAGTCCCCGAGTAAATTGAATTAACGTTCTTCGGGCAGGAAAATTAATTAGATATTCGCATAGAAACATTTCTCTGAATAAAGAAGGAAAGGTTAATTGGACGGGTCTTGCTAATGAGTCCACCAACAACCAAGGACGAAACGAAACTTTCCCTTGGAATGAAATTTTTTTACAGCAATTATGAAATTCGAAATGTTAAACGTCGTGAGGATAGCAATATTTGAACACGATTCGATAAAATATGATCCGAAACTGTATTTAAATGTATTACATTTTAAACCTAATAAACTCTAAGTAGCGTATTGGCGATTCACTATACTTTCGATGTCTTTGAAATCTTCGAGATTCTTCGAATTATTTGAGTATTTTATTTTCCTGATAGTATTATCATAGTAAAATACTTGGAAAGAAATATTTGTGAAATACCAGTTTAGTTATAATTAATTTTTGTAAATGTAGAAAATAATACGATGGTTCTGTTCGTTTTGTTCGTTTGAATACGCTTCGTCGAAAAGAATAAATTTATGTAAATAGCTCGTTCGTGAATTGGAGCGAAAATTTTTCAAGAAAATTTCGTATATTAGATTGAATTAAAAAATTGCTGTACGGGTTTGAAGGAAGAAAGTTGAAAAATGTGAAACGTAAGGGATGAAATTCTCCCTTCGTTGTAAACCTAGTGAGAGTTATGAGTAGAAAATGTCAGACGGAAAAGCAGGCTGAAGGGCTAAGACTAGGGACAAGGACTATGCCAGACACGATGACTTTGAATAATACATCCAGTTTCTCCTGCCCTTCTCAACGTATATATGTACATCCATTTCCGAGCTTTCGTATATTTCAGCCCCGAGTTATTGTGTTAGTGACAGTGACTTTCAATGTCGTAACGTTTTAATTAAAATGTCATAAAATAATTCCCAGATTTTTTTGCCTGTCGTCCTGAAATTTATTCTCGCCGTAATATATTTAGAACGCTGAAGATCGTGCAACCATTGAAAGAATAACACATTAACAGCCACTTCGACAAAAGTATTGTAGAAAAAATTACAATAGTGCCAGCTACTTTAATAAAATGATTCTGAAATATTTATCCATTTTGTTAATGGAAATTTTGTCATTGGAAATTGAAAAATTAATGTTTAAATTATATTTTTCGTTCATATGCTCGAAAATATATTCGTAATTTAATTATACTTTGCTCGACTAAAGTATTTTGCAATTAATATATTTTATTATTTATTATTATATTTTGATAAAGTTATGTTTATAAGTGTGCTTATATAATAATATAAAAATACCTAAACTTTATATTATTTTTATATTTTTATATAAACACACTTATAAACGTATCTCTATTTTTCAAAATATATTAATTGCAAAATTGATGGTGCAATTCGATCTAAAATTTATTTTAAATAAGGAAAACCCAAAAATTAGAAAAAGTAGTGATTATTAATATGTTTTGGAAAACATAATATTTAGTAATAAAAAAACATACTTATATTAATAAACAAACTATATTTTCCAAAATGTATTACTAATCGCTACTTTTTCTAGACTTTTGGTTTTTCAATTAATTTTGCAATTAATATATTTTTGGCAAATATAGATACGTTTATAATTGTGTTTATATACCTGAACTTACATTGTTATAGAAACATCTATATTTTTCAAAGTGTATTAATTACAAAATGGGTGATGCAATTCTTTCTGAAATTTATTTTAAATAAGAAAGACCAAAAAAAATAGAAAAAGTAGCGACTATTATCCCGGGGGGGGGGGACCAATTTTGCTCGAAATCTAATCAGATTTTAGGACGAGAATATGGAAGTCACCCCTTCGTCGGTTCTAACAGACTCATCGCTTTAATTTTGCTTGATATCTTGATAACAGGTGGGATTACGGTCTTGTTCGTTTAGGACATCTTTAATCATACCATTGTTAGTGTTATCCCAAAATACGAGGAAGCTCTGTTTAATGAAAATTGCGTACGTGACAGTTTCCTGGATCGTGTTTCCCATATGCGATTGTTAGCCAGTGTGATAATTTTCTGCATTTTACGACAAACGTAAACACACCTACGTTACGATCCAACAGAAACCATTTTGTAGACCTAACACGGAGATACAACAATCACTAACGAAAATGATTAACAAAGTTCTTCTACTCGACTTTAATCGTGTTAAAAATATTCTAAACTTGTGAAAATAATTTCCAAAAAATTTCTACAATTGATTGTTCGAAAAATTTACATGAAATAAGGAAAACAAGATGGTGAATATTTTATAAGAAAAATTTTAGTATTACTAAATACAGCAGCCACGAAACTAAATGTCAAACTCTATCTACTCGACTTTAATCGTGTTAAAAATATTCTAAAGTTGTGAAATTAATTTCTTAATAATTTCTACAATTGGTCGTTCAAAAAATTTACGTGAAATAAGGAAAACAATGTGTGGAATATTTTATAAGAAAAATTTTAGTAGTACTAAATAGAGCAGCCATAAATTAAATGTCAAACTCTATCTACTCGACTTTAATCGTGTTAAAAATATTCTAAACTTGTAAAATTAATTTCTAAGTAATTTCTACAAGTGATTGTTCAAAAAATTTATGTGAAATAAGGAAAACAAGATGGTGAATATTTTATAAGAAAAATTTTAGTAGTACTAAATAGAGCAGCCATAAATTAAATGTCAAACTCTATCTACTCGACTTTAATCGTGTTAAAAATATTCTAAAGTTGTGAAATTAATTTCCAAATAATTTCAACAATTGGTCGTTCAAAAAATTTACGTGAAATAAGGAAAACAATGTGTGGAATATTTTATAAGAAAAATTTTAGTATTACTAAATACAGCAGCCACGAAACTAAATGTCAAACTCTATCTACTCGACTTTAATCGTGTTAAAAATATTCTAAACTTGTAAAATTAATTTCTAAGTAATTTCTACAAGTGATTGTTCAAAAAATTTATGTGAAATAAGGAAAACAAGATGGTGAATATTTTATAAGAAAAATTTTAGTAGTACTAAATAGAGCAGCCATAAATTAAATGTCAAACTCTATCTACTCGACTTTAATCGTGTTAAAAATATTCTAAAGTTGTGAAATTAATTTCTTAATAATTTCTACAATTGGTCGTTCAAAAAATTTACGTGAAATAAGGAAAACAATGTGTGGAATATTTTATAAGAAAAATTTTAGTAGTACTAAATACAGTAGCCACAAAACTAAATGTCAAACTCTATCTACTCGACTTTAATCGTGTTAAAAATACTCTAAAGTTATGAAATTAATTTCTTAATAATTTCTACAATTGATTGTTCAAAAAATTTATATGAAATAAGGAAACCAAGATGGTGAATATTTTATACGAAGAAAATTAGTATTTCAATATGAGCTTTGCGCAGTGGCGATATCGTAACCGATGAGGTTCTACCGAGGTGCGATTATTGCTAGTTGAAACTTTTAGTATTTCAATATGTGACAAATCGTCGAAGGAACGATTATAATTCAGGAAGAATGTCAAAAGAAGTACGTATTTTTCGAACCATTTTCGTTGGTTTTTTGCCTCCCTGTCCACCAGGGAGCCAAGTACCACATGTTATGAAACACCCTATGTATCCAAGCGTTGGCTACAGTCAAGTCGAAACTCTTTCGGACCTTTGTGAATTCGCAAGTAGGGTGCCGGTTAGTTTTCAAAGAACCGGCCTTGTCAAAGGGAAGAGCCCGGTGGCTTGTTTCCCCGAATTTATTAAAACCCACCACCCGAAACTGGACATTATAAAACACGGCGACTGTTAAATTCCATAACGTTGTAATTCTATAACGGAAATTCGGTAACAAGGTTCGAAAGCTCTGGAACGAATACGTCGGGATGATCTCTGTTTGGCCCCGGGGCTAATTAAAAAGTTTTCGACTTCGTTCTGGCGATTGTCGTTCGGAGATTTTTCTCAGATCCGGTAAGTTATGAAACGCGGACCCATTTAAATCGTGTAAAACTTTCCGTCGAATCGTTTCCTTTTTTCTTTCAATTTTAATTACGCAAACGGAGAATAATAATTCGATTCTACCGGGACAGGAGGGGGGTTTGCTTCTTTTCACGGAATCGGAACGAAGCGAGACGAACAACGAAAATTGATCTCCTAAGGTACGTAACGACTGGCTCGAAGAGAACGATTCGCAGATCTCTGGAAAGATTCGACCATTTTATTTCGCGAAGACGTCGACGTTCCCGCGCGGATCAAGCAGCTTCTAATTTTTGAAAAGTTAAACGCGCACGTTCCGTAATATAGTTATTATGAATGGGGGGGATGAGTTCGAGCTTTGAAAGTGGAACGCGACTCACGAGTCTGCGAGCTTTACGTGTATCGTGAGCAGAATTTAAATTGAATATTATCTGTAGGTTGTAACGACAAAGAATCTTTTCAACCTATCCGGCGAATATTCGGGATATCGCGTTTATTCTAAAGGTAATGGATTGATTTTTCAAATTTCACAGAGCCGCGATTTATTAATTGGTCTTTTTACAACGAACGTTCCGGTATTCGGAAAATTATTTCGCGAGAACGTAGAATGTAGGAACAAAATTAACTGTAATATTTTTACTTGGAATAATAATTAGAAATTTTATACCGGATTTATAAAACGTATCACTTTGCATAATTATATTAATCCAAAAGAGGACATATAATTTAGAAACAAAATTAACGATAATATTTTTCCTTGTAATAATAATTAGAAATTTTATACCAAATATATAAAGCACTTTGAATAATTATGTTAATCCAGAAGAGAAGAAATCATTCATCAAGTTTGTAATACTATTAAACAGTCAGAAATTGATGTATTTCGATCAATCGCGCTCAGAATTTGATGTACTATGCACAGCTCAGAAGTTGCCAACGAGCGAAATTAGGGTCGTTGATGGCTCAGTGAATTCATAAACATTATAATTTCTGACGAATCTACATTACGTACCACTTTAAATAATTATATTAATCCAGAAGAGAACATAGAATTTCGAAACGAAACGAACGATAATACTTTTCCTTGTAATAATAATTAGAAATTTTATACCAAATATATGAAGCAGTTTGAATAATTATATTAATCCAGAAGAGAAGAAATCATTCCTCAAGTTTGTAATACTATTAACACGTTGACTGTCTAAAATCCTAAAATTGTTTACGAGATCAAAACTCTGATTTTAGGCAATTGTAAACTGCACAACTTAAAAGTTGTCGTAATAGTTACATTTCTAACCTCGTTCAAATTTACGAAGCCTATTAAAATTGATTTTTTTTAACATTTCAACCTGAGAATTCATTGTTTTAGTTCCACTGTTTAAAGTTCTGTCACCCAAATATGGGTGACGTGGCAGTCAAAGTGTTGAACAGTCACAAGTTGATGTATTTGGATCAATCGCGCTCAGAGTTTGATGTACTATGCACAGCTCAGAAGTTGCCAACGAGCGAAATTAGTGTCGTTGCTGGCTTAAACATGATCATTTTTTAAGAATCTATAATAATTCCTTTAAAAGATGTTCCTCAAAACTGTTACTCGCGATGAAATATCATGCAAATGGAACTCGATCGTCGAGAAATTCGAAGATTGCGGCTCACGCCTATCGCGGAGTAAATTTTCCAGACCGGAACACCGTTGACGTTTACGGCACTGTTCTTCGCGACGGAAAGAAGGGAAGAATGTAGTCGTTTAAACCCCTCTGGGGACAGGAGTTCCGCTTCTTGACAGAACTTTATGAAGATGCAATGGCAGCTCTGTATCTTAAAGCAGGAAAAAATGGATCTCGGGGAAAGAGGATCAACGGGTAACCGGAGAAGGAAGGAGCATAAAAATGAAAACAGAAGAGTGGTGGTGGACGAGAGGCAGGAGATGAGGCGGGTGGCGGAGGTGTAGGTGGATCTGTAGAAAGGACAGGGCCAAAGTGCAAGAAAAAACAAAACAGAAACACAAAGAAACGAGACAAGGGTGGCTTATGTCTGCGCAGACCTTCGGGCGTACGGCGAAAACGGACTTACGGAGTTGCGGATATACCGTGGAGAGTATGTCGCTCTGCCTCGGGGCCAATCTTGATAAATATTTACGACTTCAGTGCATATCGCGCCGGGGCGGAGCCACCCTTGACGTTACCGTCAACGTTCCCGTATTTTCTTAGCAGCTCTTCACCTCTGCCTAATCTACGCCCCAACGACAGGAGCCTACTACCTTCGCCAGGTTTCACTTTCCACCTCCGCAAACAATTAACCGACCATTTTGTTCGTCATCAAACCTCCGACCACGACTCTGTTTCGAATCTTAATTTTATCGTTCCACGTAACAGCGCGAGGATCTCTGATTCGAGGTCAAAGCAAATTATCATTCGAGACACGACGCGAACAACAGTGAGATGGAATATAATATAGAGACCAAAATAAGATGAAAATCAAGAATCCCAATTTATTGGTGGAGAAAACTGTACTGTGTCTCACTCAGAAAACTGTAAGGCTGTCGATAGTACAGTCAGTATAGTCAGTACAGTCTACAGGCGGAACTTTGAACGTCAATAGCTTTTTAACCAAGGCTCGATCAACAAATTGACATTCTAGATTTTCGTCTTATTTTGCCCTCTAGAATCTCCCATTAACATTTTTCCCAGGGTTGGTCGCGAACACCCTGTACAATTTCTATCATTTTTTAAATAGGTAACTGCGATTTTTCTACAGGGTGTTTCACACACTTCAGCTAGTATGTTCTATAGCAGTATAGCAACCGAGGGGTCGCTCGAGCGCTTGTGAGAGCGCGATCCCTCTAGTGGCGAGCATGAGAAGCGGCGCCACAAATGTATTATTCAATAATGATAATAAACCACCGAAAAATTCCGATACGCTTGGCCCATACATCGGACAGTTTACGTTAGATGCATTGTAATCGTTAGGAACGGCTACGGGACTGTACGAGGAACGTTTTGCTTGAAATTCCACGAAGTCTGCGGCTGATGACGTATTTTCAATCGCGGACAATTGAAATATCATTCACCTTAATGTTCAATGTGTATGCGGCGGGGGAGCCCATTGAATTAGTAATACGCCGGAAGGCTCTTAGGAAACACTTTAGCCCGGTGGAAATTTCATTCGCGCGAGGCGCCGGCAGAGTACATCGAATATTTCATAAACGGAACAGCGCACCCTGAATTCCGAACTTCCACGGCCGTCGTCTCCTCTACTTTATCTGCTCGTATTCCTCTCCGCTCTTTGTTTCCTTCCTGCCCTCTTCTATTCCTACTGCTTCGTATTACTTCGTGATTACAATTCTTCCCGAGACTTTTTCTCTCTTCTCGCCCGTCCCCGCCACTCGGGCACACATTTACGCGAATCTATCGACGACGATCGGTAAAAATCGCTGCACCTAGAGCGGCACGGTGATCGTCGACAGTCGTCTCCGATCTATCTTCGAGTTTCATACTTTACTCGAAAAAACTCTTGATATTCTGGTTTCAATCAAATTAACATTTCTGTCTATGAATGATTATACGGCAGTAAATGCTTTGTTGAGATGTTATAACGAAAATATGAACTGTGAAACTATGTTGAGATTCTGGACATTGAAATAAGAGTAAAGATTTATAATAAAATAAAATCAATCGTTTGCGAGCATTCGATGTCGTGAGTTTCTTTCCAATTTAGTGAACATGAACTTGAACAGTTCAAAATTTGATGACAATAAAAAATTATCACAAAGAATACTTCAGCACCTGAGATAAAAGATAGAGACTGAACTGTGATAAAGAAATGTTTAAGATATCCACATAATTCTACGTTAAAAATATTTTTTCGCGCCTCGACACGAAAATTCTAGTAAATTTGTTTGTTCAGTAAATAAAGAAACATCGCATTTCACATTTTTGTAAAAACTTCTTGACAAAGCATTTTTGAATTTTTTGTTATATAACACTGTAGTCTTATTTTTATAGAACACACTGCTGAAGAGTGTACTGAAAAATGTGGAACACCCTGTATATTGTTGTTTGATTTGGATTTCAATCGAGTCTTTTTGTTTATACTTACAATTCGACTTTTATAAACGTTATCTGAATCAATTTCAGAGTTAATAGCTAATATCAATAATATTCCGAATAAACTTATAACGGTTATTATTCCCAAGGGCGTTAATAAAAGTAACTCCGATATAAACATTTTCCATCATTAGCGTAGAAAAAAGTAATCAACAAATGTATAAAATGGAAGCGCTTTCACGAAGACACACTTTTACAATTAAAACTTTTTCCGTAATGTTGAAGTTGGCGCGCAGTGTCAGAAAGTTTATCGAATTCATAAAAGTTTACAAAATTCATTTTAAATCGTGACCTGCTGCAACGACGAATGCAATTGTCCGTATACTACGTATTACTTTTCAATCTTATTATACCTATCCTTATCCTATTCTATCGCTTGTAATAATTATATTTATTTTTATTTACCCAACAGCTCCAATAATTAAGGGCAGTGGATATCGTCGTTAATCAAATTGCATAA